ATATAATTCTTGTTATGGGTTTGATGTCACTGTAGAGAAAAAGTTACAGGCAGATGTGGATGTCGCTGTTTATAGGAACACAGAGACAGACGTGCCCCTTTGAGCTGGTTAAGCTGAGCACTCGGGGGGTGAAAAGGCCGGCTCCTGGCGCAGACGGGGGTGTGGCCGAGGGGCAGCCCAGCAGGGCACAGCTGTGCGTCTGCCTGCTTGCGTGCAAAGGGGAGACAGACGTCCCCTTCCTCTTGTCCATCGAATTTACTTTCCACCTCAGCTCACGCTGTGGAGGCTTCCCTTACTGTCACAACCAAATGGGTTTTAATTCGTAACCCATCTCACTATTGTCTTTATCCACGTGGGGATCAATGGTAAAGCTCCAAGAAAAAAAGTGAATAGTTAAAAATGTCTTCATGTTTGTGCTGCTATAAAATTGTGACCAGAGCTGCAGTGTGCTTTGAATGCTGGCAGAGCGGGGGTCTTCGAGCTGCAGTGTGCTTTGAATGCTGGTAGAGTGCAGGTATTCGTATGTCTCTTCCATAATGTGTTTGCTGTCAGCTCACTGTATAAGAAGCTCACTTGTGAATTCAAAATTATTTGCAGATTTATGGCCCTTTCAAGTGAAAAGATTTCTTTTTCCAGAAGGACTTCCGATTTCCAGTGCCCGGGGAAATTCCATTTGTCATCAATAATGCCACCTACAGAAACCTTCCGTATAAATCCAGCTTCGCACTGAGCGAAGCAGGGCCCCGGGGCCAGAGGGAAGATCTGTGTGAAGTATATCAGGCTGTGTGGAAAACCATTCAACCTGCAATGTGTGAATTCCAGATGTGCCTGGAGCTCCTGGGACCGAGGCCTGCGGTGTGGTGCGAGAGCCCCCTGAAAACTGCTGACTGCAAAACAGAAGCGTTTTCTCACCACACTTTTGTCTGTCTCTTAATGTCCATGACTCACGTTGGCCAAAGCACAGAGGCGGTTTGGTTTTGGGGTTTCCATGCGAAGACTTGGTTCCAGCATCGCCAGTAACCTGAGACCACCTCACCCAACACCTGTGCCCAGCCCCTCAGTCTTACTCCCCACCTGCTACCGCCGGACTCGGTCTGTGCAGGAAGATGTGGGAAGGACTTGTGAGGGTCACAAAGCTCCGAGTAGAACACTGCTACCTTACAGCAGAGCGGTGCTAGTTTCCATTGTAACCAACCTTGCGGTTTCTATTATCTATGTTTCCTGAGACTACAGTGCCCCAGCTGCAATACAAGCAAGTTATAGTTTTGTCCAAGTTATGCTGTAGGAAAGAGGATGGGGTGTTCTGGGCTGAGTGATGCAGACACTGGCAGCCCACTCCCCCAGGAAGCCAGAGCAAGCGTGGAAATTAAAACACCCAACGAACAAAAGGACAGATGGGCAGTTTTCAAAATAAGTACAAATGACCAACGCATGAAGAACTGTCCAGTATCTTTAGCCGTGAAGGAAACAAACTAGAACTGCACGGGACGCCGCCCCTCCCCAGTCCCCACGCAGACATGCAGGCCGGGAAACCCAGGCGCTGCCATGGTGGCGCTGTGCTCCTGGCGGGAACGCAGACCAGGCCGCGGCCACCGCCCGGGTCAGCTGGGCGGTGCCTCCCAACTCAGCCTCCTGTGTGACCGTGGGCCGCGGCCACCGCACAGGTCGGTTCAGGTCAGCTGGGCGGTGCCTCCCAACTCAGCCTCCTGTGTGACCCTGCCGGAAAACTCCCGTGCGTCTGTATGTGTGTCCAAGGGCACCCCTTCTCACTGATCACAACAGCAAGATCACAGACGGGGCCTAGGCTCCCTCCCGGGGTGAGCGGGTGAAGAAGTCGGGGCACACGGCCATGAAGAACGAGACCGTGTGATCTGAGGGAAAAGGAACAGGAGCCTGTGCCGTCTCCAGCAAAATACACCAGAAAGGCAAATAGCACATTTTCCCTTCCCCACACAATCGAGATCTTAAAAGGAGGTGGGGTGGGCGTGACTTAGGGGAAGGGAGAGGGGACAGAAGCACACGGTACACACATTTTTTTTTTGTCTTTGTGTTTTTGTTTTTTGGTCCGGTCAGTCGTGGGGCCTGAACTCTGGGCCTGGGCGCTGTCCCTCAGCTCTTCAGCTCAAGGCTAGCGCTCTACCACTTGAGCCACAGTACCACTTCCGGCTTTTTTTCTTTTTGCTTATGTGGTGCTGAGGAATCGAACCCAGGGTCTCAGGCATGCAAGGCAAGCGCTCTACCACTGAGCCACCTTCCCAGCCCCCGGTACACACTTTTTAAAAATGTCATCATGAGCAGGCCCTGGTCCCTCACACATGTCATCCTAGCTACTCAGGAGGCTGAGCTCAGAGGATCGCAATTTGAAGCCATCCTGGGCAGGTAAGTCTGTGAGACTCCTTCTCCAATGAAGCACCAAAAAAGCCTGAAGGAGAGCTGTGGCTCAAGTGGTAGAGCTCTGGCCTTGAGCTGAATGGTTCAGAGACAGCGCCCAGGCCCTGAGTTCCAGTCCCAGGACCAGCACACACACACACGTCATCCTGAAGCCCAGTGTACAATAAGAGCGTGCACGTGTATGCAGTACATGTGTGCACACGTGTGTGTGTGTGATGTGTTCTTGAGGCTCTCTGGAGTGGGGTCCTAAAACAATTCCACACCACATCTGATACTCCAGCTGCTCAGGGCGTCAGGCGCTGGAGACAAGCACTGAGCACACGTGTGTGCTGTGCTGGCTTCTCTCCAGCAGGGTAATACATCCTGGCACTGTCTGTGTGGCTCAGTTCTCACCTGACTCCTGGTCTGGGTGGAGCTCCATCTGAACGCTTTCTGCGCGTGTGCATGCGGTCCTGGGGCTTGAACTATAGGCCTGCGCACCGTCCCTGAGCTTTTTTGCTCCAAGCTAGCGCTCTACCACTTGAGCCACAGTTTCCCTAAAGCCTGGCTGGCTTTAACTGAGCCTCGGCTCTCAACCTCACCGAGTAGCTAACTGGAACTTTCTAATTGCAAAACATTGTGCACAGAAACATGTGGCGTTCGTTAAATGGGGACTCATTTCTTCAGTCACGGAGTCGATTTCTGTAGGCTATGGAGGCCTGGGCACTGTCCCTGAGGAGGTTTTTGGCTTGTTTGTTTTGTCGGTCATGGGGCTTGAACTGAAGAGCTGGGCGCTGTCCCTGAGCCTCTTCCCTCAAGGCTAGTGCTCTGCCACTTTGAGCCACAGCTCCACTTCAAATTTCCGTAGGTCACTGAAAAAAAAAAATACACTTCTTTCTTTTTCTGAAAGATTAGTTTCAAAAGCATTGCAAATCCCCAGGGGAATAAATCAGGTTAATTTTCAGAATTAACTTTCAGAATTAGCAGGGCTAAGCTTTATTCTGAAATCACGGGCGTACTATTCTAATTAAATTCAAATGTGGTTAATTCCTCTTAGGCGTGTGACGGTCATAAATCGTGGACTTGGCGGTAGGAGGTGACTCCCCGGGTCCTGAACAATAATTAAATTGGTTGGCTCACACCGTGTAACATCCAGCGTTGTAAAAACCCCAATCTTCTACTTCTGTCCCATTAGCAAAAACAAATAGTGTTGGGGACACAGACCGATGCTGGGAAGGAAGGCAGGACCGTCCAAGGCCGCAGGGGGGGGGACGCCAGGGCTCCCGCGGACTGGCCGCGGTCCCTGTCACCGAAGAGCACGGACGTGCCGAGGTCAGCATCTCCCGCCCAGTTCCTCCACTGGGTGACCTGGGCAGGGGTGGGGAGGGCCACGGGGGTCAGCCCGGGTAGGGGCGCTGGACGGAGACCTTTGTCCTCTCCCCGAGGTGGGCAGTGGAAGCCCCAAGTTGTCCGTGCGGCGCTTCCAGGCAGGGGCAGGACATGGCTGCAGCCTTGGGAGCCCCTCACTGCCCACCCCGCCCCCCGCCTCCCCCCTGCACAGGGCAGGCCCGTGCTGCTGCTCCGAGCTGGCCACTCGCTCCTGCTCTGCGCGTGCGCGCGGGTCAGCACCCGGCTGCAACTCGAGACTCCGGCCGGCACTCTTCTGCTTTCCTCTCCGTTCCCATCCAGCTCTCCACGGCTGACTGGCCCCGCGTCGGGCACTCTCCCCGGAAGGAGAATGTTTACATAAATTTGTAAGGAAATACTGAATCACACCAAAGAGCATGCTTAGCCAGTTCAGCTGTCTTGTGCTTATACTGCAGAAAAAGAGACGTTCAATGAGTTACCTAATTAAACCATCGGGTAATCCACAAGCACAGGTTAGATGCAAGAGCCAGGGGCGGGGGCTCACGCCTGGCATCCAGCTACTCAGGAGGCTGAGAGCTGAGGATCCCGGTTCAAAGCCAGCCCGGGCAGGAACGTCCATGAGTGAGACTGTTCTCCGATCAGCCGCAGCAAGCTAGAGATGGAGCCGTGGCTCCTGTGGTAGATGCTGGCCTTGAGCAAAAACAAGCTCGGGACTGTGCCAAAGAACAGAGTTCACACCCCATGACATGAGAGAGAGAGAGAGAGGGAGGGAGGGAGAGGGAGACGGAGAAGGAGAGGGAGAGGAAGAGGGAGGGAGGGAGGGGGAGGGAGTGAGGGAGGGGGAAAGAGAGAGAGAGAGGCAGAGTGAGAGAAAGAGGGAGCTGGAGGAGAGACGGGGAGGGGGAGGCAAAGAACTGTGGAAGGCAAAAGCAGAAGCGGAGGGCTCTGAGGCCGGGGCTGCGGGGCTGGGGTGCAGCCGGCTCCTCCCAAGGCCCCATGGCCCGCACGGATGCCAGGCCGGCGTCTCTGCACCGGGGCACCAGGGGACCCATTCCTCTCAGTCCAGCAGGAACACTGCCCACAAGCCCAGGATTATTGGGGTTCCCTGGAAACCAGTGACTGGGCCATGTGTGCCCTCCCTTCCCTGAGGACCCGCTGGGGGGGGGGGGTCTCCCGCAGGCAGCTGGGAGGCCCTGCTCCCTCCACGGCACAATCAGCAATCAGCGCCTCGTCCAGCTCCAGCTCCAGCAGCCAGACGCGCCATGCTGCTGGGCACCATGAGTGAAGCACAGCCCGCGGAAGGTGGCCGAGCTCTTCCTTCCAAACAGGATGACTGGCCACAAGAGCAAAAAGTCTCTCGGAGCGACCAGGGTACAGTGAAAAGGCTCTGTCCCACCCAGGCGCCGCGGCTGTGCCGGGGATGTGAGGGAATTGTTCCAAGACCTGGCAAAGCGCAAGAGACCTTGTCTCAAAAATAGAGCTGCTGAGCCCGGTGGCTCGCGCTGGGCATCCTGACGCCAGGAGGCTGAGGTCTGAGGATCGCAGCCCGAAGCCAGCCCGGGCAGGAAGTGAGTGAGACTCATCTGCAGTTAACCACCAGGAAACCGGAAGTGACTCTGTGGCTCAAAGTGGTAGAGCTCTAGCCTTGAGCGAAAAAGCTTGGGGACTGCGCCCAGGCCCTGAGTTCAAGCCCGATGACCAACAAATAATGATGATGATGATGATGATGATGATGATAGCAAAAAAGGCTGAAGGCATGCCTCAGGCAGAAGAACATTTGCCTAGCACGTATGAATCTGAGTTCAAATCCTACTACAAAAAAATGACAAGAACTAGAAAAATAAAAAATAAATACACATTTTCTGGAGGCAAGTAAAAAGAGAAACTTCAGTAAACGAAAAGAAGCTATTCACTAGGGACCAGTGGCTCACACCTGTAAGCCTAACTATATGGGAGGCCAAAACTGGGAGGACTGTAATTTGAGGCCAGCCCAGGCAGAAAAGGTTTTGGAATCCCTTCTTAACTTTTCTTAAGGGAGAGCTGAGTGCCTGCTTTCTCAGCTGCAATGGCACACTGAACCAGGTGGGTCCTGGCCCAGGTCACACGGGGTAGGAAACAAGATCCTGTCTCAAAAACAACCTGCACAAAAGGGCTGGAAGAAGCTGATCATGCCGAAGTGGGTGTCAGAGGCCACAGCTGGCCGCCATGAGCTCCCTCCCTCCCTCCCTCCCTTCTCCCCTCCTTCCTTCCCTCCTTGCTTCCCTCAAGCCTGTTGGGCCCAAGTCCTCTTTGTCCAGGCCCAAGTCCAGCTCCTTCATGGTGTTAAATTTTCCCATGACAACTGGTGACAGAAAATGCTGTGTGTGTACACATTTATGTGTGTGCATGCACATAGGCACACATACACATACACCAGTCCTGTGGCTTGAACTCAGGGCCTGAGTGCCGTCTCTCAGCTCTTTGGCTCAGAGCTAGTGCTCTACTACTGTGAGCCACTTAGGCGTTTTTTGGTGGTTAATTGGCCATAAGAGTATCATAGACTTGGGGCTGGGAAGGTGGCTCAGTGGTAGAGCGCTTGCCTTGCATGCATGAGGCCCTGGGTTCGATTCCTCAGCATCACATAAGCAAAAAGAAAAAAGCCGGAAGTGGCGCTGTGGCTCAAGTGGTAGAGTGCTAGCCTTGAGCTGAAGAGCTGAGGGACAGCGCCCAGGCCCAGAGTTCAGGCCCCACGACCGGACCAAAAAAACAAAACAAAACAAAAGAGTATCATAGACTTTCCTGTCTGGACTGGCTTCAAATTGCAGTCCTCAGATCTCAGCCTTCTGAGTAGCTTAGGATTAAAAGCGTGAGCCACTGGCACCCAGCCCTAACTTTTTGTCTGTGGTAGCCTAGAACTGTCCCCTGTCTCTGCCCTCTGGAGGGTTACTGGACCACCTTGCCCAGCCAACTGTGAACATTCTTTTTGCTTTTTGGCTATATGAAGGCTTAGTCTCAGGGGCCTTTCCCTTACCCAGCTTTCTTGCTCATGACTGATGTTCTACCATTGGAGCCACACCACTAGTCTGGATTTTTGCTAATTAATTGGAGATAGAATCGCTTGGGCTTTCCTGCTCAGACTGGCCTTGAACGTCTATTCTCCAAATCTCTGCCTGTGAGTGGCTGGGACTACAGGCCTGAGCCACCAGCACCTGGCAGGAAGGGACTTCCAGGAGTGACCGCCTGCCCTGACTCTGTCCTGGCCTGCCCACAGCCCCGCAGCCTGACACACGCGGGAGTGGCTGCGGCTGGAGACCCTGGACTGATTTGCTGTAGATCTGCTGCTGCAATGGAACATCTAAGCCTGTGATACTGAGTCTGCCTCCCAAGCCAGCCATGGCCTGCAGGCCCGGGAACTCCCACCGGAGCCTCACAGCGAGGCACTGGGCCGGGGTCGAACCGCGGGAGGACCAAAGAGGGAAGGACTGCGGGAGGGAAGGACCACTGGTCTCCTTCCGCTGCCCTGGCTACCCGGGTCCCTTTCCAGGTCTGCTGAGCCATGCAGCCCCAGCCCCAGCCCTCACCTTCTCCAGCTCAAACTCAGGGTCTCACTCGACAGCTCTCTTTGAATCTACCTGACACAGACAGACTATCGGTGCAAATCAAACACTAAGTGGGAGAGTTTCCAAAAAAAAAAAAAAAAAAAGGTCTAGAACAACCCAGCACACCTAAACTCTTCTGGTAAAGCAGAAGAGTCCGTGGTGGAAGGATTAAGATTGGTTCAGATCATCTTTCAGAATGTCTGGCTCCCACGTGATTGTGAGATGGTGGTAAACTGAGGAATTATTATAATTGTGCCATAATTTACTAAGATAAATAAGTACCACTGCTTGTGCCCGATTGACTAATATGACCCGAAAAGAAATAAAGTATTGGAGGGGATGAGGTGCCAAGATTAAAGTAGATTAGTGACAGGACCTCTGTGTCCAGTTTTGATATAATTAAAGTCATGATTTAATGTGTTTGGGCTGAGGATGGTCGTGAGGGTTTCTTCTGCATGCACAGGGTGCGGCCCACAGCGAGGAGAGGTGGTGATATGTCTGCTTCTGGCTGGCAGGGCCGTCCAGCCCCCTCCCCAGGGCTGCGCACTGCTTTCCTTCTAATCAGTCACTGGCGTTATTTAATGATATTAATATCTCAACCCAGGGCTCACAGAGGCCTTGCCGTACACCAACGGACAAGCCTCCTGACCGTGTATGCCACAGAGCTGGGGACATGAACCGTCTGAAAGATCGGCCTGTGGCAGGAGCGCCAGGATAGGCTCACCGAAGGCGGCCAGCCTGGGGAGAGAGGCACCCCAGCACCCCAGAAATGACTCCAGCGCTGTGTCAGAGGAGCTGGCTGAAAGGTACACATGGTGTAAGTCAGGAGCAGTGGTGCACGGCTGCCATCCAGCCCTGGAGAGGCGAGAGGGTTGTGAGTTCAAGGCCAGCCTGGGTAGTACGGTCACAACCCGGCTCGTCTCAAAATGGCAACAACTGAAAACATACATGATGTAACTGCAGAACAAAACGTCTTGCTTTTTCAGCTTCAAATATTGTGGGCTTGTATATTGCAAAATGACACGTCCTGTGTTAGATATGGGCATTAGGAAATAGAAAGGTGCAGGTGCTGTGCTCTTGTTTGCTTGGTACTTGGACAGTAAGGGGCTCCCTTAGTCCCGGACTCCTGGCCCGATCCCCAAGCAGACCCCACCCCACTCCCCAGAAACAGCTCAGCCGCTTTCATCCCCCACTCTGAGCTCTGTTGAAGGAAGGCGCAGATACCTTCCCCCCCCCCCGCCCACGGCTGTGCAGCCAGTGTACAGATCACGCTTGCACACCGATTCTCTATCTCCAGAGCAACCAGGGTTCGGGCCTCTCGGCATCACACCCAGCATGAGTGTGCACTGGGGGCCACACCAGCCCAGGGACACAGCAGGTTCACCTCTGGCCTTTCCCCAGAGCCAGGAAGCCTGGCCCAGTGAGCAGGCTACGGCCTGTGTCCTGGGGACGCAGGCACTGGGCGCTGGGCCGGGACTGGACGGGGGAGATGCGGGCGCTGGGTCAGACAGCATGGTGGAGGGTCCCTGCACGGCCCAGCCCAGTTGGCTCTTCCCCGGTGACGCGGTACACACGGGGCCGGGCGAGGGGTGGGCCTGGGCAGGGTGGAGCCAGGCCAGTGGCTGCACACTGGGTGCTGGCCGGTCCCTGATTAGACAGTGAGGCGTTTCCATCCTGTTATTTATCCACACCAAGTAGGAAGACAGCATGTCCTACAGAGAACCGGGAGTGCAAGCCCGTGCCACGCCCACCTCCCGTCCCCCACGGGAGACGCCGGCTTCCATGCCTGCCTCTGGTCCCTTCTCCGCGGGAGTGCTGGCCTCCAGCACAGCTGGCACCAGCCTCACCGCACTCTGAAGTCGTCAGGGAGACGCACTGCCTTACACAATTAAATATGGAATTTGCTGTCAGGCCCTCCCACCCACCAGGGTCTTCTTGGAACCCTCTGACAAAGGCAAACTGGGGGTCCAAAGCTTGGGATCTCTGCGGAAGCAATCACGTCCATCCACAGACAATCCCTGTCTTGGGCTCCATGTACCAAACAGAGGTCAATACATGAGTGAAGACTTCTACATTATTCCCACCCAGTCTTGCTGCAGATACCAGTGGGTGCTGTCAGCCAAGCAGAAAAGAATGTCCACAAGTGCAGTAGCAAGTGTGAAGTTTACTCCAGTAAAATGGAGACTGTTCAGGTCAGCGTGGCGTGCAAGTTCTCCATCATCACAGCTGCCGGCCGTGCTCTCTGAGTCAGTAGATGCTGAAGATATTTACTCCACAGAAATGATGTTCTATCATCATAAACCAGTATTTTCAACTCACCAGGAAGAAGGCAGAACAAGCAAGTAAATGTGTCTTGGGGAATGTGTGTGCTGTGAATATGAGTTCCAAATGATGCTGTGATACAGGCAAGGTTCCACAGCGCTCAGCCGGGGAGCGGACATTAGACCTAAATGAGCATGATCGGCTAGGGACCGTCAAGTTCCCCCCCCCCCAGTCTCACCAACGCAAAGGATCTCTTTTCCAACAGCAATGAGATTAGTCATACATTTCATGAAAGAAGCAGGAAGTTTGGTAATGCAAGACCTTGATTTACAGTGGCCTCCTGATTTATTTTTGTGTATTTTTAAATCAGCCTATTTAAAACACAGCTCACTTAAAAGCTGGTGTTTAGGCATCACTTGACTATTGCTAGAAACTTCCTCTGGCTAATAAGAAAAGGGTCCTGCCCACCTATTCCAGCCCCTCATCCCAACCTCAAATACAATCATCTGTCAGGTGATAGATACTGGGGGTGGGGTCTGGGTTGTTGTTTGTCTTGTTTGTTTAAGTGTCACAGAAGTCCGCATAAAAACAACACTTAATAACCAACACTTAATAATAACAGTCCTGCTGGTGAATAGAAAGGGTATTTTTATCAGCCTGTATTACGTGTACAAAGTAATAGGTTTCATTTTGCTTGGTGTGTGTGTGTGTGTGTGTGTGTGTGTGTGTGTGTGTTGGTACTGGGACTTGATCTCCAGTCCTGAGTGCTGTCCCTTAGCTTTTTCACTGAAGGTTGGTGCTCTACCACTTAAACCACAGCTCTACTTTTGGCTTTTTGGTTGATTAGTGGAAGGTAAGATCTCATGGCCCTTCCTGCCCAGGCTGGCTTTGAACCATGATCTTCAGATCTCAACTTCCTGAGTGGCCAGAATTATAGTGAGGAGCCAGTGGGTGGCAGTAATGGGCTTCATCCTGGCCCCTCCCTCTACGTGCGCGTGTGCCTTTTCCATATCCACCCCCACTGCCTTCCGGCCCGCTCTCCCTCCCACATCCCTAGCAGTCCCCACTGTCAAGACCCCCCCCAGCCTAAATTCCACCCGAGACAGAAGACACGTGACCACGCCCTGAGCCTGGTTTTACCTCATTAATACACCCAGCTCCTGCGTGTGACAGCGCTTCATTCTTTACGGCTGAATACAACTCTATTTTCAGACACACCACATTTCCTCTGTGCGTTCATCCACTGATGGGTACCAGGGAGGACTCCCTCACTTGGCCACTGAGCTGTGCGGTGGTAAAGGGGGCGTGAGGGCATCCCTGGGGGGCACTGATGGCTTCCGTGGTAAATACTCCAGCGTGTAACGCAGACCTGGGAGAGTCTGAGAATGGGGAGGAAGGCTGGAGGTTGTCAGGTCTGTGGGAACACCACCGCGGGGGGCTGGGGAGTGGGCCCAGGGACATCCTGAGTGGCGTGTCAGGAGACGGGTGAACCAGCAAGTGCAATGACAGTACTGAATATTCAAGGTCGCAGGCAGCAGAAGGAACCCCTTGACATGTCCAGCAAACCACGCCTCCACTCCTCTTCTACGCCGGGGTCCCAGTTCTCACCTGCTAACCCCTCACCAGCCCCGGCGGGACTTCACAAGCCGTCTTCACAGCCAACCTGGACACGGGCAGGGCTCCAGAAAAAGACTCAGAGATGAACCTCACTACCCCCTCCAAAAGGCGTCTGTGTGAACCAGACGCCGGTAGTTCACACCTGTAATCCTAGCTACTCAGGAGGCTGAGATCTGAAGATGGAGGTTCGAAGCTAGCCTGGGCAGAAAAGTCCCTATGAGACTCTTACTTCCAATTAGCCACTTAAAAAAATGGAAGCAGGCCGGGCATCTGTGGCTCATGCTTGTCATCCTAACTACTCAGGAGGCTGTCTGAGGTTCATGGTTTAAAGTCAGCCCAGGCAGGAAAGTCCATGAGATTCTTGGAAGCAGTGTTGTGGCCCAAGTGGTAGAGAGCTAGCCTTGAGCACACGGAGGCTCAGGAACAGTGCGCAGGCTCTGAGTTCAAGCCCCATAAATGACAAAAACAAAAACAAAACACATCTGTGTGTAGGAGAGTCTGATGCTGAGGAAATCGAGAATCAGACTAAGGTCTGCAGAGGTAGAGAACCTGGACTACACCGGCTGCTTCTGGGTAGCAACCCAACAGCTTTTCAGGGCTTGGGTTTTGCATTTAAGCTGCTGTGTTCGATGGTTCTTCCAGAACATACTTTGAAACAGAGAATGCCATCCCAGTCTTCATGGGAAGAGAGACAGAGAAGGAAAAAGTCCAGGAAGGGAGGGCGTGGGGAGGCCAGGCCCCGGTGGGCAGCTAGGCCTCAGGGATATTTGGGGAACTGTCCAGCGGGCCCAGGAGAGGGGAAGAGGGGCCATGGGCCCTCCGGTGCCCAGTCAGGAGGGGCTGGCATCTCTCCAGAGGGAAGGACGAGGGCTGGGGACAGCAAAGCCGGGGACGGTGCGCGGGAGAGGGCAGGCGCCTCACCTCCAACCTTGGGGAGCTCACTTAACTCCTTACAACAGAATGAAGAGTTTTTCGGCTAATAAGGAGTTGAGGCGCGGCTGTTACTGTGGCCGTGCTGTCTGGACGGGGAGGGAGAGGCCTTGAGGCGAGCGAGTCTGTCAGGGGACAGTGCTGGACGGTGTTGCATGCTTTTGAAAAAATTAGCTCTGAACTGCTGGTACTTTGTTCCCGGGCGAAACAGGACGGCTCCACGGACAGACAAAGGGCACGCACGCGTGCAGCAGAGCCCAGGTCCAGTGCCGGCCAAGCTGACACCAGACAGATTGGGGCAGATTGGCTGGTCATCAAATATTGGTGGGAAACAACCTGGGTTTAAGTTTGACTTGCACGAGCAAAAAATGTTCATCCATGAAGCCTTGCACAGAAACTGCAGAACACAAAAAAGTAAGGAAAAAACCTTACATGACTAACAAAGCAGGTTTGACTTTATCAACAAGGAGAGCTGTCCATGTGGCCAAACGGCGGCTGCCCACATTCAAGGGCACTGAGGCAACTTTGCTGCGAAGGGAGACGCGGTCTCTAGAAAAGAGGAAACAGAGACAATGGGGACCGTGCACGCACAGCAAGCACTGAGGGCTAATGAAAATGAAGATGCAGCTGAAATTCAGCCAGAGCAGAGGCAGCTTTCTGCTCGTCAGATACTGAAGAAGTGGCCAGCACAGCTTGTGGCAGGGAACCAAGGTTTTGCAAGGACTTTGGTCATCGAGGTAAAATTGATAACCATAATGAAGGCCTCCACATGAACAATACAGGGGTCAGCGACACACACAGCGTGTTTACAAATCACTTACTCAACGTGGGGCCACAACGCCCCCAATGTCTCACTGCTTTCAAATTTATTTATAGAGCCATGTCCTAATGTGATACACAGTTGGCCTGGAAGCTGAAAATCACATCGAACCGCAGCTTCGTGCCTTCTCTTCGGGTCACCAAGCCTGCCGGTCCAGGACAAGTCCTTACTCATCTGACAAATGATGATGGTGTCAGAGGATGAGCTGCCAGGCTGGTAACTTCTAAACAACATCCCAGACCTGTGTAAACAAGCTCAGCCAAGACCGCAGACCCCAGCAGCTAGAAGCCTCTTCCCTCGCCAAGGCCCCTCCAAGCCCAAGGCAAACACGCGGCACAATGGGGCTGCACAAGCCCCGCAGCAAACCCAAACGCCCAGCTACGTTCACACCCAGAGCCGCGGAGAGCTCAGCCTCACCTCAGTGGCTGTCTGTACTCCCCTCAATGTAGCCCTCCCCTCCCTCCCTCCCTTCCTTCTTTCCTCCCTCCCTCCCTCCCTTCCTCCTTTCCTTCCACCATAGACACACGTGTACAAGACATGTTTTTAATGGTGCATTTTAATAGAATAAGAACACGTCCGTTTGTTAAGTGAATAGACAGGGCATGTGAATGACACCACAGAACCGTAAGGAAAGACTGCACACCTGCCATCCCAGCTCTCGGGAGGTAGAGATGGACTGTGAATCCCAGGCCAGCCCGGACTCTACAGTGAAATGCTGTCTCAAAAATGAGGAGGAAACGTGGGAGGGAAGGAGGGAGTGGGAGGGAAGGAAGGAAGGACAGAAGGAGGGAGGGAGGGAGGGAGTGGATCTGGATCTTGTGGATGCAGGTCTCCTTGGAGGTGGATGCAGCCAGGCCTAGAGCTGGGGAGGGGCCGGAGGGCAGCTTTGCCCCAGCTTCCTGCGGATGATCTACCTCCCTGCTGACCCACCCCCACAACCTAGATCCATGACACAGAAGTAACCCCCAATCTGCTCCCATTCTAAAGGCTCGCCGCTGAATGCAATGGAGGACTTCTGTTTTGTTTCAGAATGCTTTGCTGTGCTTCCTCAGTGCCTTAACCCAGGGGTATTTCTTTGCTGATACTGTGCATTCGGTGCTTTGTATGCCTGCTCCAACTGGATGATCTTTTTCTCAATGCTGTGAATTTTTCTGCTATTTTATTGAATAGGGCTATCTAAGCCTTTAGTTTCTATTTCTTCTGTTCCTATGATTCATAGATTAGGTCTTTTGAAAGTCTTGTAAATTTCAGAACTATTTTCCTAGTGTCTTTCAATGTCTTTGACTGGCTGATCTAATTTCTCTGCTTTATCTTCAGCCCCTGATGCTCTATTTTTAGTTTGTCCTATTCTATTAGCAAGGTTCTTCTAGTGGGTTTTAAGATCTGAGCTAATTATCTCTTTCTTACCAAAATTCCAATTTGATTGTTTTTCAAAATTTCTCTATCATTACCAAATTTATCTTCTATATCCTGTGGTCTTCTTTAACCCTTCCAGCTATTCATCTAAATTCTCTGAGCTCTGGAATTGTCTGTGTCTTATTTTAATTCACTTAGCTGCTTAGATATCTCTGTAATGTCTTTGATTATTCTGGTCCTCCTTTTTTTGATTTGTTGTTTGGAATTGCTTCCTGTTCACTGACACTAAAAGAGCAGGTATTGGCTTTTAAGGGAGACACGTTGCTTTGTTTATTAATGAATTTTGTGATTTCTTTGCTCTAAGATGTATGCACGTGGAGCCTAAACTTTAGATGGGAGGTTTCAATCTCCTGTATCCTTTCACTTGATTATTTAAGACTGAGTGGCGGCTGGGTTGCAGTGTATTTTCATGCTACTAGATTGCAGGAATGCAGCTCAGAAGTGGTATGTTCAACTTCGATGTCAATGAGAGACGGTGCAGACCTCTTCTCTACTCTGGGTAAAGAAGCTTGGCTATCAAAACTTTGGCAGATGGGAGCTGGTGGCTCCCAACTGTCATCCTAGCTACTCTGGAGACTGAGATCTGAGGATCACGGTTCAAATCCAGCCCAGGCAGGAAAGTCCATGACACTCTTATCTCTAACTAACATCCAGAATACTGGAAGTGGCGCTGTGGCTCAAAATGGTAGAGTGCTAGCCTTGAACAAAAGAGCTGAGGGACAGTGCCAGGCTCTGAGTTCAAGCCTCATGATTGACAAATAAAAAATGAAAAAAGCTTTTGCAGTTGAACCATAACCTGTGTATGTGGCAGTCACCAAAGAAGACCAGCCTGGCTATGGTTTCCGTGTCTTTATGAAGATCTGCCTTGATGACCCAGGAGGACCTGTGTGAACCATGCTGGCAAAGGAGCGGCTGGGGAGGTAATAATGGCGAGCAGTGTGGGGTGTGTGTTTACGTGGGGAGGCAAGGCGGGG